GTTTTCCACCACCACCACCACCATAAGTTGGAGGGGGGAAAGGAGGAGAAGAAGGAGGAGGAGAACGAAGAGGAGGAGGAGGAGGAGGAGGAGGAGAACGAAGAGGAGGAGGAGGAGGACGAAGAGGAGGAGGAGGAGGAGGAGGAGGAGGAGGAGGAGGAGGAGGAAGAGGACCCTCTCCCCCTCCAACTTCTGGTGGGGGTGGTGGTGGTGGAAAACAGGCCCATCAGAGTGCTGATCCCACAGACCCCGCATCTGAGACTCTTGGCACCCCACTTCCCGCTGCTGCCGTGTCTCTCGTCGGCCTTCCGCCTGCGGGCCCGCCCCGCCGGTGTCCGCCCGGCTTCTGCCGAAGGCGAGGCCACCTTGGAGCGCCACACATCTCTCGCCATCCCTCGAACGTCCAAGCCCCGTGCACGTTTCGATGTTTCGGGCGTGCCTTCTTCTGTTGCTCGATGATCCCGGATGCGCCTCGATGGTCCTCGCCGAGGAAAAAAAGACGCACACGTCCGAGCCGTGCCAAGACAGATCCCCACGGCGCCGCGACTGGCCCTCTGGGCGGCGACCCCGTGGCTGCAGGGAGGAGCTGCGCGGATGCCCCGCGCGGGAAGAGGACAACGGGATCGTGGATCCATGCCATCGCGCCTCGGAGTCCAGACCGCGAGCGCACGGATCTGCCCGTCGCTCGCAGCACAGCCTGCGCCCCACTCCTCTCTCCCCGGAGGCCTCCGTGCCGTCAACCTCCTCCATGGCGGCGGTCTCGACGTAGAGGACGCCTGGTGCCACCGCGGCGCGCGCTCTCTGCGCCCCGGAGCGCCCACGCGGCGCGAGGGGCGAGAGGATCGCGGAGAGATGGCCCAGGGAGGCAGCAACGTCAGGGGGCAACTCGTGGGAGGTCTTCGTGGGCACGATGAGGGACTACAGTCGGCCCGTATCACAAGGATGCGCGATAAGGATGCAAGTGGAAGGCCATTCCGAAGCTTCTCGAGCGGGGCGCCGCCAGCGCAAGTGGCCCAGGATCGGCCGAGGAGGCAAGAAGGCAACAGCACCCCTGGGAAAGTCGCTCATCCTTACCATGCGGGTCGACTGCATCGGGCCCGATTGAAGGGCTGGCGAACCCCCCCAAAAAGGCTCCAACCTAGCGGAACTGAGCTCGGCTTCAGCGCGAGGAGCATGCTAAAATGGGGTTGGGTCGGATTTGGGCCAGTTGCCGACCACGGGGATGCCAGCGCCGATGCTGATTCGCTCGTCCCAGAACTTGCAGGCTAAGCAACGTCGGCGAAGAACGCGGGCGTCGCTCCGATGAGAGAGCGACCACCGAGGAAGCACAGGCACTCCCGACTGTCCTGGGGCATCCTGCGCAGCAGGGCAACAGGCGAGAGCACGATGTGGCCAATGCTGACGCTCGCGCCATGGCTGAAACATCATCACGGGGGCTGACAGTGGCTAGCGCCAAGGTGAGAGTGCCATTCCGATGTTCCCGTTTCTCCTCCTCCTCCTCCTTCTCCTCCAACTCCTCCTCTTCCTCCTCCTCCTCCTGCTCCTGCTCCTCCTCCTCCTCCTTCTCCTCCTTCTCCCCTCATCACCCCCCCCACATCATCACACTCCATTCCTCCTTGTCAACCCAATACTCCTGTTCGCCCTCCAGAACCCCCTTCTTCAACGCACGCGCCCGCACGCGTCCCGTCGATGCTGGCTACAGAAAAAGGGTGTCGACTGCACACTCGGCCAATGATCGGCAAGACCACTCGCCCTGCTCAGTTGGCCATAAGGACAAAACAACACCGAGAAAGAGAGAGAGAGAGAGAACACAACACACACAGACGCACACACACATGTTTCACGTTACCGGCCCGAGGAGACACCAATCGAACAATGCATGCGCAACAACCGATGCATCTGGGGGGGATTACCACTGAAACCTGGTGGCGACCACACCCGGTCGCAAGCCACAAATGTTCATAGTCGGCGCGTTGTGAGCCAACACTAGCTACGCCGTTCGATCCGAAGCCTCCAGATGCCGAGTTCGAAAACGGCGGCCCTGAGAGGTCAGCAACCTCAACCGATCGGCACTAATACCGGTGCAAACCAGGGGTCAACGTATCTCAGGAGCGAACGCGGCGGAGGGAGAGCCCAGGGACACACACTCTGCCTCCGACGCGGCGATGAGAGCACTCACCAGGGACTGCGCTCCGGGTCGCGCTCGCAACGAGTCGGCCACCTCGTGTGATGGGCACTCAGCCCGCAGTCGGCTAGGCGCCAGGGACACACACAGACGTGTCCTCCGCCGGCCGAGTGACGTGGCCGCAGTGGGTGGCAGCACGGGGTGCAGGCTATCGTGGACTCCACCCGGCGCAGCAGGTGGGCGGCCGCGCCTGGCGAGCGGGCGTGCGGGGAACAAGCTCCCAGCTCAGTGGGAGGGCAGGCGAAGCTGGCACCTGCATCTGGAGTCCCGAAACGGTGCGGTGACACACAGTGCGGTGACCTCGAAATCCCCCAAGACCTCACCGCACGGTCCGTCAACGCACGGTTTTGGGACCTCGGATGCTCCAGTCGCCCGAGACGTCCTCGGAGAGCGACCCGAGTCCCAAAACCATGCGGTGACCCCGAATCCCCACCGACTCACCGCACGGCGTGGTCACCACCCCATTTGGGGGCCCCCAAATGCAGGATGCGCCAGGAGTGCTTGGAACCAGGGCCAGAGAGACCAAGCGCAGGGACACACAAGCCAACACTTGTTTGGCGTCGCGGCCACGCGCGCGGCGGCGCGGCGTCGGTCAAGTCGAGCGAACGCGCGCGGGCCGCGCCAGCTTACGCAGAAGCTGGATCCGCCCTTCGGGGACCGACAGCGACACCCGCGACACTTTCTTTGGCGGTCGCGGCCTCGCACGCAGCGACGAGACGAGGCGGAGAAAGTGTACCCGAGCAAACCAGATGCGCGCGCGGGTACACACACACACACACCGGCACGTGCAGGAAGTGCAAGGAGCGCTCGGACACAAGGCCGGAGAGACCAAGCGAAGGGACACACACACAAACCCACACTTTGATGGCGTCGCGGCCACGCGCGCGGCGGCGCGGCGTCGGTCAAGTCGAGCGAACGCGCGCGGGCCGCGCCAGCTTACGCAGAAGCTGGATCCGCCCTTCGGGGACCGACAGCGACACCCGCGACACTTTCTTTGGCGGTCGCGGCCTCGCGCGCAGCGAGGAGACGAGGCGGAGAAAGCGTGCCCGAGCAAACCAGATACGCGTGCGGCCGCACGCACGCACGCACGCACGCACGCACGCACGCACGCACGCACGCACGCGCACACCACACACACACACAAACACACACACACACACACCAGCACAGGCAGGATTGCCAAGGAGTGCTTGGACCCAAGGCTGGGGAGACCAAGAAGTGAAGGGACACACATACATCGGGAGCGGCCAAGAGGGAGGCGTCCAAGAGGGGGGGCGCAAATCATGGCCGGCGGCACGTGCGCGGCCCAAGGGAGGGGGGGGGGCCCGGGGTCGTATTGAAGTAGGAAGATGTGCCATGAAATCTGGGGAGATGTCATGGCCCCCACCATGAGACCCCCCCCCTAGTCATCACCCCCCTCTCTGCCGCCCCCGAACTACACGAAACCACTCTGTTGGCGCCGCGGCCCCGCGCGCAGCGAGAAGGCGCAGGCCAAGGCCAGAGACGAGAACGCACGCGCGGCGGACGGCCGAGCCCTCAGAGGGGGTACGACAGCAAGCCCGGAGGGCAGAGGGTGGCACGGCGGAGACTACAGCCCTGCCCTGGCCAGTCGACTGTCAGAGGGGCAGGACAGGGTTCGGGGGCGGCCAAGAGGGGGGCGTCCACGAGGGGGGCGCAAATCATGGCCGGCGGCACGTGCGCGGCCCAAGTGGGGGGGGGGGCAGGGGGGGGGGCCGGGGCAGTATTGGAATAAGAAGAGGCGCCCTGAGATCTGGGGAGATGATGGTAAGCTGTAAGTGCACAGTGGCCTTGAGCTGTAAGTGCACAGTGGCGTTTATTTTAGCATTGGATTTTAGCATTGGATTTTAGCATTGGATTTTAACATTGGATTTTAGCATTGGATTTGAGCATTGGATTTTAGCATTGGATTTTAGCATTGGAATTTAGCATTGGATTTTACTTTGCAGTACCGTGCACCGTGCACGGTACTGCAGAACGGAACTGTGCACTTACTGCTGTGCACTTGCGACTTTAGCACTACACACTCACGGTTAACCGTGCTGGGGAGATACCATGGCCCCCGCCATGATATCCACCCCGTCTAGTCCTCCCCCCCTCGAGCTTTGCCGCCCCCGAGAGGTACGAGGAGGCCGAGGGCCAGGAGTGGCGGCGTGGGCACCGCAGCGCAGCCACGCTTGTGGCGTCGGCGGCCAGGCACAGCCACTGCGCTGGCGAGGAGGCACAGCGAAGCTGCCGTCGAGCGAACTGTGCCACCATTGAAGGGGCCCTGGGACACACAAATAAATACACCAAAATAATAGGATTCCCCATATTTTCTCATATTTTCTGGATTTTTTGTCTTCCCCCCCACTTCCCATATTTCCCCATATTTTTGGGGGAATCGACGATTAATTGTGTCTGTGTGTTTCTTTCCCTCCTGAACCATGCAGGAGGGGGGAGGAGACAACGAACAACACAACCACACTCACACACACACACACTCACCATGCCAGGTCTGGTGCGGGTGCGTAGCCGGCGCCCTCCCACGCAGCGCGCATGCCGGAGGCAGTGGTCACGGCCAGCGGCAATGGCGGCCCGCGCGCCGCGGCGCCGCGGCGGCGCGGAGCGCCGCGCTCGGTGCGGCGGCCGGGCCCGAACGGAGTCGGTCATCACGCCGACGGCCCGTGCTGGGTCGCGGCGTTCCTTGACGAACGAAAAACACACACACACACACCCATACCCATAGGGGAGACGGGCGGGGCTACGGGTGCGTGTTGTCGGATGGAGGTACCCGCTCGAAGGGTCCGACCACCCTCACCCGTACCCGCAGCCAGCCCTCATGCCTCCCACCTCCCTATGGGTGTGTGCGTGTGTGCGCGTGTTCGTTCATCATTCCTCGGCGCCGACGCGGCGCGATCGGGGGGGCCCCAGACCCCTCGCGCCGCGGGAGGACCGCGACGGGAGGGGGAGGGGACCGTGAGGTGACGGACCGCGTGGTGACCTCGGAATCATCACCGCGCGGTCCGTCACCAGCGCGGATTTGGTCTGAGCCCTGACTCCAGATCCGCCCTACTTTGGCTTTTTCTCCAACTTAAAATTGCGTCGGAAATCCACCTATACGAGGCCGAAAAAATGGGCGGAAATTTCTGCACCCAGTATAAAGTAGGGCGGAAATCCACAGAAGTAGGGCGGAAACAGCAGCAGAAAAGTAGGGCGGAAATTGGCATCAGCGGGGCTTGAAAAGTAAGGCGGAAATTCCAAGCCCTACTTACGAATTGCCCCAAAGTAGGGCGGATCCGGAGTCAGGGCCCCGGAGGCTCCGCGCGCCCGAGCCGTCCCTGGAGAACGACCCGCCCCGGCACCGTGCGCGACCCCGAAGCCCCCACGGACTCACCACGCGGTGTGGCCACCACACGCCTGGGAGGCCCCCGAGGTTGCCCGAGACGTGGGGCTCGGGGTGGAAGGCGGGTCGCGGGGACGGTCGAGAACTCCAGGGGTCCACGTTGCGGCCCCCCTGCCCATACAGTCGGGGCGTTGACGTAAGGAACCCCAAATAAGGAGCGATGCCCCTTTTTACCATAAGTTGAGCTTCGATTTCCCTTTGAAGACATAAGGAAAACTCGAGGCAAGCTGTGAAACAATTGAGGAACACGGAGCCCCTTCCCAACGAAAAAGGTTCCTTCTTCAGGGACCCGACTGTTGTGGGCCCTGGAAAATGCAGGGCTGTTTTTTCACCGTTTCCCCAAAAATGTCCCTTGAAAATGGAAACGGCAAAACAAACGGCGACCGGAAACGGCAAAAAAAAACAGCTCCAGGATTGGAACTGGAGCCAGAACCGGTCAAGAAACGGCGACGGAGCCGGAAAAAAAACGGCGTCGGAACCGGCAAGAAAACGGCAAAGCGGAACCGGTAACAAAAACGGCCCTGTCGCTTCCAGGGCCCACTACAGTCGAGGCGTTTTCCTAAGGAACCATAAATAAGGAACGAGGCCCCCTTTTCCCGTAAGTTCAACCTCGATTTCCGACGGAAGCCCTCAGGAAAACCCGAGGCAAACTTTGAAACAATCAAGGAACACCGAGCCCCTCCCCAGCGAAAAGGGTTCCTTCTTCAGCGCCCCGACTGTAAGCCTCTGCCCCTCCCCCCCCCAGAAAGAAAGCTTCCAAGGGGGAGCTCCAGAGAGCAGCACGAGCCGCCAGTATACCACCGGCACTCCGCGCCCAGAGAGGCCCCGCCTCGAGCGGGTGGCCCTCCGCTCTCTGGGCACTCCCCGGGGGATAGGCGCGCTCGGGGGGCGAGCGATGCGGAGGGGGGAGGCAAGTCCTGCATCTAGTGCATCTTCTCCATGGTGGTCAGGGACAGATTGGTGTTCCACTTGTTCTGCAGGCGTCGGTTCGCCAGAAGCTTCTTGGACGCCCTGTGAGCCTGCACTGTGTCGACGAGGTGCCCAGATGCATCCTCATGCGGGTCATCCAACGCGAGGTTATAAACGACTATCTCGAAGGTGTGGCTGGGCGTGCTCCAGTAAGACGTGCGCAGCGGCTTGGGCGCTTCGCACTTCGAGATGTAGCCGATGCCGCCCCCCTTCTCGCCAGACAGCTCCCACTCGAGCATCATCCTGCACGAACTCCCTCCCGTTGCGGGGATCAGCTTGAGGAAGGCCTTCCCGAGGTTCTGCCAAGTCTTATTGCCAGGTGCTTTCATCAAGATCCCATCAACGGCAAACTCTGGGATGTCAGAGATGCTGCCAGTACCTGGCGGCACGTTCTCGACTCGCGTGCAAGTCGGCTTGTCCGCCGCCGACATGTGCGTGCCGTATGTCCACCTCTCACCCTTTTGGTAGCACATGCAATGGCACGAAGATGCCTCCACCTCCTTCTGGAAAGACTTCCGCGTGGCCTTATTCTTTGATGTAATTCGCCGGCCACTCTGGGCTATCGGCGCGATAGGCCTAGGCCCCTAACACCCTGGAAGAATTGTCTCGACGCACACGTGGCCAAACAAAACTCCTGGAGTAGTCTTGGAGAACTGTTGGCATCTCGGGGCCCTCTCGGGATCCTCTTGGGGCTTTCTTTGGCTTTATTGGAATCTCTTGGGGCCGTTTTGGCATTCATTTGGGGTCTGGGGGCTGTATTGAAAGGTTTTGGGGCCGTTTGGGTGTGTATTGGAGGAATCGCTGGTCGTGTTGGAGTTCAGATCGGGCCATCTTGGGGGCTTCTTGGGTCGTCTGGAAAAGCCAATCGTGTTTGTCATTGTCGCCTCTCACTTCCGAAGCTGAGCAACCTGTTCAAAGAAGTCTTGGGTGTGTCAAGGTGGACACATGACGTCACTGGAGGGTGCCACAATGCCTCGAAGACGTCCCAAGAAGGGCTCATGGGACCGCCAGAACTGTCCCAAAGGCCTATAGAGGCCTTTCAAAGACGTTGGAAGAGGTCCATGAAGTCCCCACGAGGCGCATGATAACATCAAAGAGATACCCCGAGAGAGGTCAAGAGATGCAACATTCTGTTCCACTCTATAGAGCAGGAATGTGATTCGACGAGCTCTGCCTTGCAGGACTCTTGCCCTACATTCCTCGCATCACTAGCCCAAAGCATTCCCCTTTCGGGAGGGGTGTACCTCTGCCCCACACAGTGCCCTCACACTTGAACGGGCATCTGGACTCCCTTTCACACCCCACCTCAGCGCCCTCCGCCAGTGAGAGAGCCACTGGAACGAGGCTCCAAAAGGTCCCCAGGCCGGACTTTGCCGGCAGTGTCTGGGCCGACCCCAGCTTCGGCTTCACCGGGTGCGCCTCCCCCCCATAACTCGCCTTCCCGCGACAGCCCGCGGCGAGCGCGCAGTACCGCCATGTGGGGTGGCCAATGCGGGCCTACGCGGCAGAGCCGAAGCCCTCATTTTGTGCTGTTCGCTCTCTGAAGAACCATAGCATGCGGTGTGAGTTTGAGCTCTTGCCCCTGCCAGAAAGAAGGTGTCAGCCGCCACCATTCGCAACCTGCACCGTCGGATAGTCTGCTGTCATGGCCAATCATACCCATCGCTTGCTAAACATTCACAGTCTCGAGATCCCACCGGTCCCGCTGGATAGGCTGGTGGGGATACTTTTTGGTCGCGGCCGCGGGCGAAAGCGCAAGCGGCGAGTCGGCTGGTGGGGATACGCGAAGCGTCAAGAATTGGAAAACTCCAAGATGGAACGAGAGGGCGCGAAGAGGTGAACAATTCGCCCTGAGCAGCCCCAAGAGAGCCCCGAGATGGTCCAAGAGGGAGCTCAGCAGAGGCATTGCCTCTGCTCGCGCCATCGTGGAGCCAAAGGGGCCCTCTGGGCCTCGTGAGGTGTGCTATGGAAGCCACCCGGACCTCCCTGCTAATCCCGGGGGCACCTTGAGCCATACACACTGTTGGCAACACCCGAGGGTTGACGGGCGAAGAGACGGTCCTGGACAGCACCAGCCAGTAATTACCCTCAAATGGTCTCCAGCCAATCCCTCACGGCCTGTGAATACCCCTAAACAGCCCGAAGACAATACAGAGGGAGGTTCACCAGACGCCAGCGAAGCCCCCAATGAAGACCGAGATAGCACCCTTACGCAGTTACACAGAGCTCGACACATCGCGAATGGCGGCCACTCTGCCGTGCAAAGAGGGAGCAAACCGACAGGGCGCGCTTCACGAGCGGTCGAACCCTGAAGTTGCATGATGTGGCGCCAGCCTGACGCATCAACAGGCGGCGCCATCCAGCCCCTGGGGTCATGTCTGCCCGCTTCCGTATCCCAGCCTCCCGGGATGCCAGGAACGCATCTATCTCGGCACCCTCGACACCCAGGACGCGAAGCTCACGCGCCTGAAAATCAACGAGCCCACCCGGCTTACAGATGGTCGAGGTGTAGCCTGCGCTCAGATCGTGGAGCACCTCGTGCAGCACGCGCCTGCTCGACATGTTCGCCAGGTACTTGTTCTCTGCGTGCGTGAGCTCCCGGAGCATGAAATCGTAGACGCGCCGCCAATTCCGGAGAGCTCCTCCCCAGTCCATCGTCCTCTCGCCCGCCATCGCAGCAGTCATGGTCTTCCAACCTCCGGGCCCCCCGAATGTCGCGTTCACGGAGCGCCACATCAGGTTCCAGAGCCCAGCCCTCACCATCGCGTCATGCTCCTCCTCGTTCCCATGCCCTGGCGTGAGCGGCGTCTGCTGCCGAGTCTTCAGATGGTCCTCGAGCACGCCCCAGGCTCGTGCCGATTCATCTTCGTCTAGAACACCATCGTGGTTGGCGTCCACCCTGCTCATCACTTCCGCGATCCTATTCTCGAAATCCGCCGACCCCGTGGGCAGTACCGAGAGATGCCAGCCAATCTCTAGACTCATGCCCTTTGGGCATCGAGCGTCGCAATGGAAGGGGGGAGGGGCCAGGAGATGTCAGAGAGGGTCTGGAGAAAACGCTGGAGCCCCAGGCCTACAACGCTACACGTCGTTCATGTCTAATCGTGTTCGTTTCTAATTGCTCATGGCCCCCTTAGACCAGGAAGTGGCCCAGGATAGAACAATTAGAAATGAAAGGACCTTGGCCCCCAAAAAAATCAAATAAATTTCGAAGAATTAGACATGAACAATGTGTACCCAAGAGAAACTTGACGAGCAGCATCAGTCCAGCACCACTCGGCCCCCCTGGAAAGCTGGTGAGACGGACGCCGCTTGGCGGCCACTCCCGACAATGTTGGAAAGGGGGCGGGGGGGGCCACCGCGGTCCATGGGCAGTCTCGTGACCCCGCGGGTGGCCCCAAGACGACGGAGAGATGATATGATGCCACGACGTCCCCATGACTCCAAGACGACCTCGTGACCCCGAGGGTACGTGTGAACCCAGGATGGCCCCATGAGCTCACGACGATCCAGAAGTGAGCCCCACGCAGCCCCGTGCGCCCAGCGATGGCCTCAAAAGACGACCCCACGAGGACTCCCAGGGCGACCCCGGCGACCCCAGGATGCTCGAGAGATGGCCCCGGGATGCCCTCGTGACGGCCCCGTGCCCTCACAAGGTGGCCTCATGGTGACCTCACGATGCCTTCAATACCTCGAAATGATGCTTGGAGGCGCGCAGAGGAGGTGGAGGGAGGGGGAAGGGCCTCTCAGAAGGAGGCTGCTTCTTTGAAGGCGTCGGCCTCACATCTACAGAGAAGGCCCGCGCCTTCCAAGAGGCAGGGGGTGCTTCTAAGAAGCCCTCCCCCCTCCCCCCACACCCCTCTGCGCGTGGCTGACAAGACCTCGACACGATGGCCTCGGGATGTGCTCTGCCCGGCCGTGGCCGCGGGTGTGCCGCGGGCCGCGACGGACCGTGCTGCTGGACCTCTCGGGGGGGGCGCAGCACGAGGGCGACGGCTGCGCGCCCACACCCAAAGGGGGGGCCAAGGACGCACGCATGAGCACACACAGATCCCAGGATTCCCCACGTGCCCCCCCTTTTTGTGATGTTTCGTCCTCCCCTCCCACTTCCCATCGCGTGTTTCCCTGCTCTCCAAGGAACCGACGACTAACTACTTGTGTCCGCGTGGTGTGTGTATGTGTGAGAGAGCGTGATCCACCGCCGCTTTACTGTGGAAAATTGCCAACCTTTTCCTCCGGAACCCGGGGGTCTCC